CTTTTTTTTTCACATTTTGCTGTTAAGTCATTGCTGCCACGAACATGTAATGTCCATTGTAGTTTGTTTTTTTTGTGAATGTGTTTACACGTAGCTGGCTCCACAAGGCTCAGCTACCAAGGGTCAATTATTAAGCCTTATGTGACCCCACCTGATTTTTTTCTTTCCTTTCGTTGATGAGAAAAGTGTTTTCTAGTGCTATGAATATCAAAACTGTAATTATTTTTATTATTGACATTTTGATTATTATGATGTTATTAACAATATCAAGAACAGTATAAAGTAAAAAATGGTGTGGTTAGAAGTCAGATAAGTCGGACAATTGAGACATCGAATATGATAAATAGACTAACAGCTGGTTTGTTAAAATTGTGCCAAGCCCAACCTAATGAATTTTCATAAATACAGATGCAAAAATAAAGGCATATCTGCCTATGTAACTGATAGATATACATTTAACCATCTATTTACCAGGTTGATATGCATGTCTAGACTGATAAATATGCATTTATTTCCTTATTTATGCATGTCAGGTATACAAATATTCATTGGGTCGGGCAACGCACAATTCTAAAAAACCGGCTGTAATATTAAATTGGATATGCTATGTAGGCCAATGTTCATGTCTTCCCTGGTGACAATGCGTTAATAAAAAAAAAAATATTTTAAACTGAGGTATCAGCCAGATGGGTTAAGTATGACAATCGTTACATTCGACTTCCTGGGCAAATTTAGTCTTCTTATGTTTATTATGATTAGAGAAATATGGAGAAGGATTTTATGTTCATGTGCAATATGTGTATTTTTCCGATGTATGTTCTAACTAGTAATATTTTACGCAATACAGATTTTACTTGTCAGTGAGGATGCTATGATATACTTCTTTTTTAATTTTGAATTGAATATTACATGAACCGTATTCATGTTGACAAATGTAGAAAAGGTATAAATGAGAATGAATATCTTCACAATACAGGAGATATATTTGACCAGTTTTGATTATACCTTCATCAGAAATACATTTATTTCTGACGAAAATATAATGCATCTCTTGTTTTGTGAAGATATTCCTTCTCATTCATACCTTTTCTGAATATTACATGTACCGTGCAAGTATCTAGGAGTGTCTTGATATGATTCTTTATCTAAAGAGATAACAACTTTTTTATGCAGGAAGATCTGTTGTATGTATGCTTTATAACTTATTGTGAACAGGTATACCATGTGTGGCTAGATTTTGAAACCTTACTCCTTTATTGGTTAGGAGAGAGGTATTGAAATAGCTTAGATTTTTTGTCATTTGTTAAGGTTTTGATTTATGATACTTTTGTGGAACTTTGATGTTGTTGAGCAAAAATCATGAAAATGACAGCAAAAAAGTGTGTGTGTGTGTGTGTGTGTGTGGTGCGTGCGTGCGTGCATGTGTGTGTGTGCATGCGGCATGGTGCTGCATATTAATATATATACATATATACATATACATATATATATATATGTGTGTGTGTATGTGCATGTGTGAGTGTGAGTGTGAATGATAAGCATTAGGAAGTAGTGATATATATAAATACAAATGGTTCTGTCCACTGAAATGATTTTGTAACAAATTGTTAAGAGAATTTTTTTTATTCAAGTTATGAAAATCAGATTACCAAATCCCCCCATTTACTATTAGGGTGAAAAATAATTGCCCCTTAAATTCATTATTGTTAATGTTATTATGATAGATTTCCTAATTACACAGGAAATTGTATTATTTACAATGATTATCAGCATCTAGAATGTCCCAGGAAATTTGTTTGACAGATTTTATCAATTGATATCATAGCACTTAGTGAATAAATCTTCATGTCATTGCTATTGCAATCACACAGTTAAACTTGTTATCCATTGATAATAGAGAATATCAAGATGTACATTTTTAAGTGCACATGATACTAGAAAAATTGCTAATTTAATCCTTTGACATTTCAGAATTCCAGGAGGCCTTCTCCATCTTCGACCAGAAGGGTGATGGCAAGATCCAAGTGTCTCAGATCGGGGAGGTCCTGAGAGCCCTGGGCCAGAACCCCACCGAGTCCGAGGTCAAGAAGCTCTCTCACCAGCACAGACCAGGTGAGCTTGCAGATAGTTATCGTGGGTGGTTGCTGCTGCTGTTTTTTTTTTTTTTTTTTTCCATTTTCTTTCTTTTATTCTCTTACTGTCTTGTTTAATTTGTCTTTTCGATCTTTTTCTATCTTTTTTTCATTTGATCTCTGCCACTGTCTATCCATGTATCTGTATCTGCTTTTCTTTCTTTAACTGCCTGTGTCTTTCTCTTTTTTCCTTCTCTCATTTTCTCTCCTAATACTCTGTTCTGTTGCATACAATAATCAGAAAAAATAAAAGCATATACAATATTCTCTCTGTGACATGAACATTTTTCCCCATAGATGAGCGCATCAGCTTCGAGGTGTTCCTGCCCATCATGCAGACCATCTCCCGTCAGCGCCCAGTCGACACCGCAGATGACTTCATCGAGGGCCTGCGTCACTTCGACAAGGATGGCAATGGCTACATCTCCTCTGCTTGAGGCTGCCCCCATGATAGCTCTATCGGCATGATGGCAAACTGCGGTATGTAACTCTAATCGATATGCTGAGGAACTTCCGGCCAATTCTTATGAATCACCGTTCGGATTAATGGATGATTTCTTGGTCGAGAAGGAATTGGGTGATGATTTGGGAATGTAAGATTATCTTGAGTGAGTGTGTTCAGGTAGTGCATTTTTCTTTTAATCTTGTTCCCGTGTTTTCCTCTTATCTTTGTCTTTCTTTTATTTAATTGTATGACTCCTTGGACTTAACCATGCAGTTTATTCTATTTTGCATCATATTTATATACACTATCCAGAACAACGTACTACACTGAATCATGATCTGAATTCTAGAGAAATCAAGGGCAATAAATAACTCTAACTCATGGTTGTTTGTGTAGAAGGGAGTCTACTTGATCATTCAGTTGTGCTATATATACAAAATATTCACGCATTAATGCCTAAGTCTTGGAGATAATTACTGGAAATAAGATCACGTTTTTTAGGCCAAATATTTATTTTAGAATGTGGCGATGTTTTTTGTAACATCATACCCTTAGATGGCTGCTCAGTACCTGTTAACTAAAAGAATTTATTCTGGTCTCAAATAATATGGATTATGGGGTGTACAGTTGGAATTCACGTGTATTATGATATTTTATCGGTTTTTTTGTGCCGAATGTACATGTGCGGAGACATCTTGTAAGTATTTATACCGTGCAGATGTTTATCAAAGTGCATATTAGGTTTGATTCAAGTCCAGTTTGTTGTTGTTGCACTTCATAGCATGATGCTTAACTACTAGCCCCGGCCCATTGTATCTTTAGGTATTTTCTATCTCTCTTCTTAGATCTTGCCAGGAAGTGCGTAATACTAGTGATGCAGAGCATAATCGATCTCGATCACTTTCTTTTCGTGCCAGATTTCGTTTTGGTTCATTTTGCTTGTTTTTTCTGTGACGCACACATAAGAGTGTTTTGAATCATTGATCAGCACATGTAAACACGCCTCGCCATATCTTTCTTCTCATCCTGTCCTGTTCTTGATATCTTTTTTCTTCTCTTTCTTTGTATTCTTTTCTCTTCTTATTTTCTGTCTTTTTGTGTCTGCAACTCACTTTCTCCTGTTCCATTCCTTACCCTCCAATCATGTCTGTTTTTGTCTTTTGTTGGTAAACTTTTATTAACGTTTTTCCATTTGGGTTTAATCCATTTGGCTCACTCTTATTTATATTATTCATTTCCTCTAAGTATGTTTCTTATAATTAATTTTTATATTAAATAACTCTTTTTCTTTTTTGAAAACATGAAGTATTATGTGTAGCTTGTGTGACAGCACATAATATTATGCAGCTTCTATCTTTTATTCTCCATGTTTAGCATTGGCATGAATGTCATCATGTATGTAGGTCTTTCCCTTATATTATTCCTGTCCTTTACTGTATAGTATTGGTTACATATTATTATTTGTCTTAATCTTTTTATTTTGTTATATGTACTCTGGGTTTCTTCCTTTCTAAATAAACCGAGCAATCATTGCTTGTAGTTTTCTCCAGTTTGGGGCTGGCAAGTGTATTAAGGGGTTGTATCGATGTGACAGAGGTAGTGACTTACTCATATGTTGCCTATGATTAGTTTTTAAAGGATAGTTAGCTACGACAGACGTCATAGGAGTATGAAGGATGGATCTAGTTATAATTGAATTATGTAATTTTTCAAATTGCCAATTGCCTATTAGATTTGTAGGGAAACTGAACTGAATTCGTCATTCTTAATTGTCATTATTATCCGTGAGGTTGTTTGTACTATTCCCTAGGCTATTAACGTAGCCTGTCAATTGTGCTGCAGTCATGTATTCATAGTCTGTATTGCTCATTGCATATTTTTCAATTCATTGGATGCGTGCGGGGATCGGAGGGGGTTCGGGGTTTGCAGATATGCACAGTGGTTTAGTCTGTGCAGTTTTATAAAGTCGATCCTATCCGTGTACGATTCTTAATGAAGATCAGGTCATTGTCCTTTATACCTTAAATCAACGTTGTTTTTTTGCTTCCACTGATTTGTCCACTGTTTACCAATAAGTCTTGTTTTTAAGTTTGTCCAGTGGTTTACCAAGTGTTCCTTGACTAGTATCACAGCTACTGCAATGTTGAATATAATTTTACGCTTTCATGCCATTTCAATTGCCCTCACTATTTCTAGGACTTGATTCTACTTTTTGTCCCAATTAACAGAGACTGGAGTCTTTACACATTCACTGTTGTATAGACAGGTTTCTAATTCGCAGGTGGTGCTTTAGATATATGTTACTTTGATAACAGATGTTTGATCTCGTTACTCGCGTGGTAATGTAAAATTAAGCTTTTCTCCGAAGATAAGCGTTATTCTGCAAAACGCATACTTACCTTCTGGAATGGAGTTGATTTGGTTTAAGTGATTTGCTTTGTGTCAGACTTGATCACTCCGATATGTGAGATTAGGCATGTACATATTGTTTTTCTCCCTATAATATTGACGGAGGTTGTCATGGCTTATTGTCACGCTTGTTGATGTGTCTGAGGTTAGAGCAGTACTCTCGCTACAAGCTTTCATCCCAGTTGCAAGTATTATGAACTTTCCAGTATACTCTTAAACTAGCGTATTTTTTCAATTAGATCTTCCACTAACATTTCATAAACAACTGTGGTACCGAAGTGGATCCATTAAATCGCTAAAAATCCATCAGAGAAGCTTAACTACTCACAATACGTACTTCTTAATTAATGCGGCGTTGATATTTCTGCCTCTTCGGCTTTTCTGTCGCATAGTAGATTCGTTACTGTCGGCACTGTTATTGTTTACGAGTATTGATACTTACTATGCAAAAACCGTTGGACCACCCGAGGTTTTTCCTGGTCCAGTACCGGCTCCAGGAAGTTTCTTTTCGTATAGAGGCTAATTAAACTTCGTCTACACTATGTGTATTTGATTACACAAGTTTTAAAAATCTAATTGCTACGCTCGCTGTTATCAGAGTTTTATGATGGCCTGGTATTGGTTTTTGCAGTGCTTCCAACAGAACTCAAGGGAAATATAAGATCCTAGATATATAGCAACGTCGGCGTCAGTTTTAATAATCCCAAAGGGGGATATACATTGTTTTATTGAGGAGATATTTCAGATAAGCTGAGTTGGTGCACTCCATTTCATGTCTTGTATAGGCTTAGGTGATTCCTGACATGTTAGAGTTTGTTTGGTGTTTAACTCCTCGCGCTCACTCATGTGATATGGTGCAGCTTCTTCTTACCCATCGATTATACAACCCCCCTCACTCCGACGCATTAATTAGCTCCTGTGTTGTGCAGTCAGCTGCTCAGGTAGTGAATATTTCTGAAGCATGACAGAACCTTAATGAGGGCCCTGTGTGACATTACTTGGCTTCGCCCAATGCTTGATTAATCTTTTCTTTTATAATTTTTATTTTCTATTCTGCTGTTATTCATTTAGATATTACTGTTGTTATATTATGACTGTGATTAATAATATTATTTTAAGTTAACGCAATTTCAATATATAGATTCTAAGGAAGGATCTATTTCCAAAATTTCAAGGAAAGGGTGAGATTATCTGTAAAGAAACTAGTAAGTTAGATTATTGGTTGAGCTAATGCATCTTTGTTTGCTTTTATATTTGATTACCATTCATGATATAACATACCTATATTTCCCTTTTGTTCCTTCGCTCGACAAATCATAGTGAAATCAGATGGTGTAACCATGCCATCTCAACTACAGTGGATTATACACTACCCTTTGCGATCTTTCTGTGTCCGTTTGTTGGAGTATTTTACTCGATCCCGACATTTGATATTTCTAGGCCTTTATAGATTCTGTCCTGTGTAGAGTTATGTGTCCATTAGGGTCTATTTCTTCCTATTGGAGTGACTGCGATGTATATATGACACCGCGTGGGCGGCACGCGTTCGAGCTTGTGAGCAACTTATGCACTTAGATATTTATTGTTTGTTGGTTACAACATAATCGCCCTATCCCCCTTTTCCCCTTACCCTCCACCTACCAGCCTTGTAATGAATTGATCACCCGACAATTATATGAATCTTTTTGCGGCAGGTATTTATCTCAGTAGACTTCGTACTTACAGCTTGTTTTGACTGAAAATAATGTTGTGACTAGTTGCTATTTAGTCATTCGCTCCTTTCTTTTTTAGGGCCACCAGGGGCCAAGTTTGCCTGACAATCCCCACGGTCACTATAGCTCGGACTTTTTGTGTCACTTTGTGAGATTGTTTACAACTATAGAATGGGCTTCGCAAGTCATATCTCTTATATCCCAGCCACTCATGGTAGGCTACCACTTGTCTATCGACAGCTTTATGTGACTCTACAGACTCATGTAATATCTCCTTTCCTGGAGTTTTCAGGGAAAATGTTTGTTTTTCTATTGCTGTGAATATCAGTACTTTTATTATTGTTACTGCCATTATGATCGTGATATTGTTATAGTAGCAACAACAATAACAAAAAAATATTTTGGAAAGTCAGACTTTTGGAGCCGTCGATATGTAAATACATTTACTAAAGTAAATTCATATGGCATATTGCATATATGTACAGCCCATCCCCATTGGCAACTGGTTAGTTATGTCTACAACAGTGAATAGAATCATTATTTTCTTTTCTATTTCCAAGTGACAAGCTAAAGAATTAGTGCTATTATCATCCAGTTCCATCTTCTTGACTCCCAATAACCATATCAATGATTTTCTCTCTTTTTCTAGGTGAGAAGCTGACAGACGAGGAAAGTGGAACAGCTCCTCGCTGGCCAGGGGACTCCCAAGGGAACGCCTCACTACGAGGAGTTTGTGCGCATGGTCCTCAGTGCTTGAAGTTCTTCCTAGAAGTGGAGTCGTCTTTTCATAAGAGGCCGTCGCACATGCATTTTTCTATTTATGGTTAAATTATGTAAGGAGAACTCTTGGAATTTTAAAAAATGAAGAGAGT